TTGCTTGCACGCTGAAAACGACATTATATACTTTTGGTGTTGTAGTATTACTCGACATAGGAAAAGAAAGCAAGAAAAAAAGAAGAGAAATAATGAACATACTTCTTCTTTTCTACGAAGCCGAGAGGAAAAAAAAGAAGAAAAATCAATTTTCTCTTTCTTCTCTCATTTGGGCGTAACAACGTGCTCTGGTTTTTTTTTCTCTTTTCAAAAATCTCTTATTCTTTCTTTTTATTCTATATTTTTCTCTCTATTTTATATAACTAGTAAGGGAGAGTCGTCGTTGTCGCCGTCACCATCACAGAAAATACTCTTGCCGTCGTCGTGTTACAAGAAGGATAAGTTGTTGCTTCTACTACTATTGCCTTGTGCTACCGTGTATTGCGTCCGTGCTGAGTCGGACTACTCTTCTCTTTCGCTCTTTCTTGCTAACATACATACAAATTCTCTTTCTCTCTTATCTACGATTGAACAACGTTACTTATATATACAAAAAACCCCGGTGTTGATTAAGAAAGACAAGCACAACGAATAATCTTCATTACAAACCTGATATACAGGTTGACATTAAATTATATATATAAGTGGAAATCTAGGACAAATTCAATTCCAATCACATTATAATGGTGAGTATGATGAAAAAATAGAAACGGAAGTGTATTTTTTCTTTGTTATTACAATGTAAAATAGCCAGAAACTAATTTATTTTCTTTTTACTTTACTGATTATTTTTTTAACACTTTAAATTTCAAAAGATTTGATTATTTATGTTTTTCCGATCTACAGAAAAATTAAGTTTAGAGAAAATCTTGTTACTTTTATTTATTATTATTATTATTATTATTTCAATATAACAATCTTTTATAGTTTTTTTCGTTTTCAAAGTTATTAATAACTTGAGCAAAAGAAAAAAAAGTGATTATCTCCGTAAAGTAGACTTATATTCACTACTTGTCAAAAAAAGGAAATGATATTACGTCATCAGCTATGTTTTTGATAGGCAAGAAAAAAAAATCAATAATCTGACAAGAAAATCTGTTCAGTAATAAATATTTGTTTTGCTTATCATTACAATAAAAAGAAAAATTATGAGAAAAAAACGATTTCAAAGAAGAATATCTCGATTAACTATCTATGAGTAAGGAAAATGTTAAGGCTCACAAATTGACACTTCAGCTATAAATCATTTTTTTTTAGCTAAAAATTTATCAATTTCATGGTCTATGAAATATCACTAGAGAATACTAACATCATTTATCCTTATTTTATTATCCAATTTGTAGATAAAAAAAAATATTTTAGATTTTCTTCCGAAATCATTGCATGTTAGTAGGTACTAAGACGATTTCCTGAGTGCCAAATGATAGTAGCATACTGGTAGAAGAGGTCGAAATTTTTTTCTCGCGCTTTCTTTTATAGCGATGATGGTGCGCACATCTTAATTGATTATACGGGTGTGCGTGTGTATAGGGAGACCTAGAAACAACACACACGAGAATGCATCCGATTCTTGTTGTCGCCACTATGAATATAGCATCGGCGAACGAACAAGGCTAGTAAAGAGAAAACAAGGACATGTCTTGTTCGCACACACACTTGATGTAAAAGAACGAGAGAGAGATTCTCGAGTTATCCAGTGGTTTTTTTTTATTCAACTTTTGAATATAAAAATAAAAATTTTTCTTTTTTTTTATTTATTTAAACTATTTCAATATTATTGTTATGTGTTTTTTTTGTCGTACAAGGAATTCTATTTTATCTCTTATTTTTATTCGATCTTGTAATGACATTCTTTTGTTTGTGAAATAATCTGTCATATGAAAAAAAAAGAGACGTCATAAGTCTAGAGATCAACACAAGTTTTCCTATTGTCATCGTCATTGAATGCTTTAGGATAAAGATTATCAACGATACTATTTATAAACTATTGAATCCTTTCTTCGCCTCTTTTTTTTTCTTGCTCGTTTAAAAAAAGAGAAAAACCGTTTAATTATATTAAGCGACATTCTTTTTTTTTGTAATTTTTAAAAATAAAATTATTTGAAATTAATACATCATCATATCAACATCAATAAGTTAATTTCGAGAGTTTAATGATTTATTGATGAATGAGTGTCTATATTTGAAATTATAAATAGTTTATGAGATTGTAAAAAGAAGATAAATATTATGATTGAATTAAACAAGTATATTTATTATATTCTTATAGGCTGATCAATTGACAGAAGAGCAGATAGCCGAATTTAAAGAAGCTTTTTCCCTGTTTGACAAAGATGGTGATGGAACAATTACTACAAAAGAATTGGGTAGAGAAAATGAATTTTTTTCTTCTATTTGTTAATTCTATCTATAAATAATATAAATTAGGTACGGTGATGCGTAGTCTGGGTCAAAATCCAACAGAAGCTGAATTGCAAGATATGATCAATGAAGTCGATGCCGACGGTAAGTCATTTTTAATCAATCAAAATAGTGAATTTGATCTGGTTTATGTTTTGATTATACCAAAAAAAAAAAAGAAAAAGTTCTAATCTTTCATTGAACATTAACGTATGTCTACTTCCAATTAAAAAGAAACCTCGAGATATATTTATTCTTAAGGCCATTATTTCTTTTTTTTTATAATAAAAACAAAATAAACAAATAATTATATTTAATTTTTGTTCAGGTAATGGTACGATTGATTTTCCTGAATTTTTAACCATGATGGCACGTAAAATGAAGGATACTGATTCGGAAGAAGAAATTCGCGAAGCATTCCGCGTGTTTGATAAAGATGGAAATGGATTTATATCAGCTGCTGAACTTCGGTATAAATAAAAGAAAACTAATCTATGGATATATCTTCTTTTTTTCTTCTTTTAAAGACATGTCATGACCAATTTAGGTGAAAAACTCACCGATGAAGAAGTCGATGAAATGATTCGAGAAGCAGATATTGATGGAGGTAAGATTCTTATTCATTTGTTTTTTCATAAAATAATATTTTTGTTTTTTTGTTTAGATGGACAAGTTAATTATGAAGGTAAAAAAGAATCAATTAAATTTCTAAATTATTTTATTATTTTATCTTTAAGAATTCGTAACAATGATGACATCGAAATAAAATATGATGATGTCTCGTTTTTTTTTCTTTCTTTTTTTTTGTCTTATTCTTTTTTCTTCTTTTCTCATCGATTTTGTTCGAACGCGCGTTCACTCGTGTCATTTCATCGATAAATCGGATGAATGAACGTATGGATGACTGTCGTCACTTTCTTTGTTCACAAAATTCTTCTTCTTCTTTACATGCTTGTATGTGTGCGTGATGCGTCCTTTTTTTTTTTTCTTCAATGTCTGTCTAATTGTCTGTCATGGCGTCGCGCAACGCTAATAATATAAGACATAAAACAAACTATACAAAAACATATTTAATATTGCAAGAGATTTTGGAAAACTGATTCGAGAGAGAGATTTTTTTCTTTATGATTAGTTTCGATTTATGAATAATGAATGTACAAGGACAACTATGACTAGTGAACAATAACAGATAAAGAATTGAATAACAAAAGATAAATTTTCATAAATTATGAAAGAAATATGAGACAACAAAAGAAAACAATAGATAGTCAGATCAAAGAGAAAAAAAGGCACGATATTATTATTCTATGTCAAATGGAGTTGATCTTTCAAGAAAATAAAGTGCTTCTTTTGTTTTCCAAGTTTACAATAAATTGTAATCTCGTACGATAGATATTAGTTATCATAGAAATCAAACAATGTCATAGAGTACATTGACTAGAGAAATAATGCAAAAAAAAGCTCAATTTCATTTATCGTTTATAGATGAATAATGTAGAAAATCTTTCTTTTTCCTACTTCAAGGCATATATAGATAATAAGATTAGTAAATAAATTTAATAATCAATATAAAACAATTTTGTCTCTCTATCATAAATTCTTTAAATATCATTGATCTTCTTTAGATTTTCAATATCTTTTGTTTTTATCTTACGACATATTTATAAAATTATTTAATAAACAAAATTCTATTTTGACTATCGATTTATAATAAGAAATAATTATCTTTTTTTTCAATAATGATAGACTTCAAAACATGCAATAAACACACGATGCATTCGTGCATATATCGAAGAAAATAAATTATGTTAGAGATGTTCTGTAGTCTTTTAAAGAATATTGTGTCAACAACTACTCAAGTTTGTTTTTACGTTGATAGAATAAGGACAAAAACATTTTTCCGACCATATTTAATGAGAAATAATAAGAATGATTATAATATGAAGAAGAAGAAGAAGGAAAAAAAATGCTTTTTCAACGACTTATAACAATCTTTTACAAGAATACTCTATTTTAATCAATAAATTATAATAAATATTATGGAGTTATTATTTAACAATACTTTTAGTACAAAAAAATCAATTTTTAACTATTCAGTTGTCTAGATGATATAGTTATATGACATAGAAACATTAATATATAATTAAGAACTATCCATGTTGATGATGCTCATTAATAGAAAGAGATAAGAATTCTTCTTATGTTATAATATCTTTAATAAGAGATTATATTGAATAGAGAGTAAAATAACATTTTTACTATTAATAGAAAACTCTTTATCGTGTATATTGAAAGAGAGTTGTATGTCTTGTTTATTAAATTGTACTTACGGCAATATTTTTAATTAATGAACTATTTTACACAAATTAATTATCTCGAGTGCCTATAGCAATAATTATAGGTTCAAACAGTCTATGCGAATAACAATGAAAAGTCGAGAAAATTTGTTCCTTGGAATTTCAACAACATCAAATTATGTATTGTCGAAAGTTCAATGATATTTTTATTTAATTGAAAGATAATGTCATCAGTTTATTGGACATTTAATTTCATTGAGAATAAAAATATTTCTTTTTCAGTAATTACAGTTATAATTTAATTATCGATTTATATATACGAAGATACGATATATTATTTAGATAGTTATTAAATAAATAATGATTTATTATGATACTTTTCTTTTTCTTATAATTAAAAATATGAAACTTAATTTTTAAATATTTTTTTTCTTTAGATTAATGAGATATTTCGAGTTAAAAATATAAATTTCATGTAAATAATCTAATACTCAGCTTATTTAACATGTTTGTCATGTAAACTATTGCTATTTATTATCGATTATCAATTTTCAACATACTTATATATCAACATGGAATTAGTTTATAGGAGAAGCTGTGCTTTCCATGGAGAATTACATATATATATCAAATATTGATATTCGTATGTATAAACACTCTCGAGATGGTATTCATCTGAACATATGTTATAATTATGTTTTTTTTTTAGTAATCTTAATAAATTCTCTTATCTTGTTATTGTATGATTCATGATATTTTATATTATCAGGAAACACATATGTGCTAATTTTTAAATTTCATGAATCATAATAGAAACAAGTCTATTACATAAATTATAAAGATAATTTCTATATTTATCCTATAATTGACTTTTAAAACTACTAATTCAAATGCAATACAATACTATCAATAGAATATTTTCTTTTATTATAATCATAAATCCAGACGACTGTATAAATTATTACCACTGTTTGAAAAAAAAATGAGAAACGTTTTTCAATTCAAATATTGAGATTTAGTCTGTTATCGTTATTTTACTAATCTATATAAATGATTTTATAACATCGGTGTGATGATTTACGATCTAAATAAAATACAATTGAATTCTTTTACTGTAAGTTTATCCATATATATCTTATCTTTATGACTTAATTATATAAAGAGAACAGTAAGCAAATGAAAATGGATTATTATCAAAGCAATGATCATGACGAACGATGAGAATAGCAAGCAGCAGCAGCAGCAGACAAATACTGATAATATTAATAAAAAACAACAACGAAAACGAAGTGTATTTGATCTTGAACAAATTCGTCAATTAGAACATGTTTTTGATCAAATAACACATTATCCTGATTTATCACTTCGTCAACATCTTACTCTTATAACACAACTTCCAGATAAGAAAATTCAAGTTTAGTTTTTTTTATTCACAAAGAAAAGAAAACGAAGAATAAAAAATATTCTATTTCAAATTAGATTTGGTTTCAAAATCGTCGTGCTAAATGGAGAAAACAACATCAATTAGGTCATTTTGGTGGTTTACATGAATTAACTATTGATGAACATCATCGTTTTGTTCCCGCACCGAAATCAAATTTTATTTTAGCATCACCAACACCATCAACAACAATTACAAATGTAAATATTCATTTGTATTCTAATCTATACATATAAGCAATATTTAGAATGCATCAATCCAACAACTTGAACATTATTTTTACTTAGCATTTCAAACTGCTCTAGCAAAAACGAATGAAAATTTTGATCAAATATTTCAACCAAAAAGGTAAATAACAAATATGATTTTCTCTTATGCTTCATTGCGTATCGATAATATGTTTTGATTTGTATCATTTATACAATATTCTAGACATGATTCGAGCTATCCTCCTTGGTTTCATAATGATTATATTGCTTCTACAAATACAAACAATTGATTCAAAACGTCGATTATTTACAAATCGAGCAACACAAGAAGAACTTCTGGCTTTGATTTGTGATGAAAATAATGCCTTTTGTAAACGTACTTTTCGAGATTTATTTTTTAAATAAATAAAAAGAACAACTTATTCACTTGTACGTTCTTCTTTTTTTTTGTTTATAAAAAAAAATACACATGTTTACTTTAAGATCTGTTTTTTTTTGTTCTAATGATTATTCTGTACTTTTTTTATTAGTTTGATGTCTTACATAAATATCAGTTATTGTAGTAACAAATGTATTTAATGCCATAATCCAAATAATTAAAGGAAAACGAAAAAATGGAAAATTAAATAATGGGATTGATTCATGTCGTCGACCTGTTATTGTTAAAAAAATCATCATTAAAACGGTTGCACCATTGAGAAGTAATCGAATATATATTAATGAAGTATTTTGTTTTGTTTCAATAGTCGCTTTTTGATCTTTAAGTTGTTGAATAAGTGTATTACGTCGACGTTCTTTACGACAATAAGTTGCGAATTCATCTTGTTGAGAAATTGTTGCTAATTCTTTTGTTATAGTTTTTAATTCTTCAGTTAGTGCATCCGTTGTTGAAGATGGTGAATAAAATTTATTCAAAACCCATAAACATACTGCCGGTGCATATGAACGAAGACATATAATTAAACTAGTAAATATAAATAAAGGCCAATTGACTGATGTATCTAATGACATTTTATTTCTATGAAAATCTAAAAGATAAAATTTTGTTTTAGCTTTTTTCTCAATACATAGATTTATATTATATTATTGTTCATCTAACGCGGAATAAATAAAATGGAATACAAGACAAAATAAATGCACAAAAAAAAAGAAAATGTTAAATATTAAGTTTTTATTTGAAATCTTCTACACTGAACATACCCTAATGAAACAAAAAGAAAATTAAACAAATATTTATTATAATACACTTACCTTTGCTCGTCGAAGAATTGAATCTTTGCTAGGATCATATGGATGTTCTTTACTTGGAATTTCTAATATTGCAGGTACAGATTTATCATGACCATCAACTGTTCCACGAATCATTTCGGCAATCTAAAAAAAAATAATAGAAAATAATGAAAAATATGTAGATAATCTTACATATTGACTAATAAGAATAATTCCAATATCATCACGACTAGCAAAAGTTTTAAATGTTTCATCAATATCTGATACTTTCGTATCTAGAGATAAAATAAAAATTAAAATATAAAAGAAAATATTTCTTCAAAAACTAACTTTTATCGACAATTAAAAAATTTGGTTTACGTGTTTTCGCATGAATTTCACCGATACCACCAAGTAAAAAACCAGTGACTGTATCCTTTAGAAATAAAAAAAAAAACAACAATATAAAATTCTATATAAAAAAGTAGAACTAACTTCATCACCAATAACAGCCACTAATTTACTTTTACCACCAAAAAGTCCTGAACTACCAGTAGTTGCAGCTCCACTAGTCATAATAATTTGAATAAAATCAGATGGATGATTATTCTTTTATCAAATTTTTGAAAAGAGAATAGTTATATTTTGTTGTTCTGTTATATATGAGGGACTGTTGAATATTCATAGATTGGTCGGAATTTTTAACCAATAGAAATGTTTGTCAATCGATTTTGTTATTCATTGTTGTCTTTCTCTTGTTTTCTTTTCGATACTAAATTCTAACCTTTCCTTATTTCTAATATACTCATAATAAACCGTGTGACCTCAATTAAAACTCTATAATTAAATGAAACGGTATAATTTGTCGAAATAGATCTTCATTTTTCTTCTATTGATTATGTTAGATATAAATGTATCGTGCATTGTTAAAACTTCATATTCATCTTAAAGTAAAAATGATTTATTTAATAGTTTTTTGTTTTATTTATTTTTATTTTTATAGAATCGAGTACTTAATTTATCTTATGCATATGGATTTTTCGTTGCTGATCATTCACTTTATATAATATTAGTTTGTTTTGGTATATTTCTTCTTAGTTTGTAAGAAATTGATTCGATCTTTTCTTGTTATTAAATCAATATATTTATCTCTATAGATTTCAAATAACGACAAATGTTCCACCACCTGGTAGTACATTAGAAATATTTGCTGAATCATCAAAAACATTTCGTCCTGTACGTGCAAGATTAGAATTAAATACAAGTGATCAATTACATGATAAACAACCAGATAAACCATTATGGGTAAATAGATGAAATATAGTAGTATTAAATATATTTTTCTGTAAATTTAAAAGTATTCTGGTTATCCACTTGCGTATGTTCAACATATTGTTATTCGATGTTCATCATTAACATCTCGTTCTTCCTGTTTTTTACGTGCACGTGATATTCATGATCGTCTTTCAGCTGATTCACAATATGATACAAATTGTTTACGAGTTAGTGAACCAATAAATGCTCAACAATATATGTCATATTTACCATCATTTGGTTGTCTTTTTCTTTCACCATTAAATCTTTGGTCAAATGATATATCAAATTTAAAACAAAATGAACATAATTTTCTTGAATTACTTCCATCGTTATCAAAACGTTATACAGATATTATATTTGGTATTCCACAAGAATATTTTTCATCAAAAAAATCTTTAACATATGCAATAACACTCATATTAAATAATGCATCGAATGAATATAGACAAGATTTAAAAAAACGATTATTTGCATTAGATGAACAACAACAACAACAAAATGATATTATACATATTTATTTTTCAAGAAAATCTTTACTTTATTATTTACCACTTTTACTTATTTATATTGTTGTATTTCTTTACATTTATTATTCAGTTAGTAAGTATTATATAAAAGAAAAACTAATTCATCTAATTAACATTCGAGAGATAAGATCGAGTTACAAGTTGATAATTATGACTAAATTGTAAAGAATTTTGTTTCTATTTAAGGTCAATTCGAATGTGTCAAATCTAAATGGGGTCTTGCATTCGCAGCTCTTGTACAAATAGTTGTTTCTTTACTTATATCATTAGCATTATCATCATTATTTCATATGACACCACGTCTTGATGGTGGTGAAGTATTTCCATATTTAGTTATATTTATTGGATTAGAAAATTTAGTTGTTTTAACTCGTGCAGTAACATCAACTCAAGCACAAAAACAATATGATGATATACGTGAACGTGTTGCACATGCACTTCGTGCTGAATCATGGACAATAACAAAACATTTAGTTTATGAATTAATTATTGTTATGTTTGGTTTTATAACATATGTTCCAACAGTACGTGAATTTTGTCAATTAGCATTAATTGGAATATTAATTGATTTTTTAATGCAAATTAATTTTTGGTTAGCAGTTTTAAGTATTGATATACGACGGTTTACAGTTGGTGTTAGAAAAAAGAAGAATAGAAATTTAGAAGAAGAAAAAAAAGAAATTAAAGTTTCATTACCAATTAAAATGCCATATTTAATTAACAGACGACAACAACAACAACAATCTCAATGGGCTCGATATAGAGTTTTACAACGAGGAAGTATGTTTCTTGTTCTTGTTTGGGTTATTTTAATATTTTATAAATCATGTTTAATTGTTGATTTATTACATAAAAATGTACAAATCAATCGAGAACAAATTAAAGATTTTGTACCAGAAAAAATGCTTAAAGAACATTATGGTTCATCTTCACATAATATTGTAGAAGATCAAATGATTAATAATATATCTGTTCCAAATTATGAATGGCAATCACTTTTATCTTATGATCATTGGCCAACATTATTTTCATTTTATAATATTTCATATGATAATCGATATTTAACTATTATGCCATCGATCTATTTACCAATTCTTTCTTCTGAAGATCAAAAATTAGATATAACAACAACAACAAAAGCTTCGTATTTTCAGTCATCAACACGATCTTTACTTGATGCAACAATAACAAGTACAAGTAATGCATTGACTGATCATCGATTTTCTACGGCACTTTGGGAACTTATTTTTATTGTTTTATTTGGTTTAACATTATTTAGTATTGTTTATTATTGTTTTCTTTCATCAACATTTTCATTCAATTCGAATCAAAATCGATCATTATCATCTTATATAAAAAGTGATCATTCAATTGTTCCAACAATTTTAACACCTTTATCAACATCATTATTAATTGAATCAATATGTGTACATGAAAATGGTACAATTGTTAGTGTTGCTTATTCTGATGGTTCAATATGTATGTGGAATCCTCAAACAGGTGGAATTATTTTACAACAACAAAGATTATCTTCAGAAAAAATTCTCAATCATGTTTGGTGTTCATTAATGATTGATGAACAACGATGTTTATTTGGTTGTTCCGATGGTCAAATAGAGATCTATCCAAATAATTTACAAAGAAAAAATTTATTATTATATCATAATGAATTTGGTGGAATAACACATCTTATACGAGCATCATCAACATTAATTATAAGTACAACACGTCGTGGTTATTTAATTGCATTTGAATATATTAATGGTATAATAAAAGAAAATTATATTAAACGATTACATCAATGGCCAATACGTGTTTGTCAAATTGATTTAAATTCATCATTAATATTTACAGGTAGTGATGATCATTCTATTAAAGTAACAAATGTATCAAATGGTTCATGTATACATACTTTACATAAACATCAATCACCTGTTAATTGTCTTGCAATTGATCCAGTATGTTTTTTGAAATAATCTTTCATAATATAACCAAAAAAAATATATTTTCTAATTTAGTATCATCCAACAACATTAGTCAGTGGTTGTTTCAATGGAACATTATGTATATGGAATGGTGATGATCTTATTCAAACAAATATGAATGCTCATCCATTATCAATAATAATTGATATAAATTTTTGTGGTCATTCGTCAAATATAGTCAGTTTAGGTACAGATAAACGTTTATGTATATGGGCATATAATAGTCTTCAACTTCTTTATGAATTAAATGATGTAACATCAAATTGTTTAACAATACATCGTACAAATTATTTATTCTATACTCAATTAAATTCTCTTTTTATATATGATACACTTAATCAAACCAAATTATCAACAAGACAATTTTTAATTCCATTTCTTAATGATATAAATAAAGATGAAAATGAAATGAATATTGAAAAACTTTTATATTCATCACAAACTGAAACATTAATATTACAAAATTCGGATATTATTTATGCAATGCACTTACCACAACGACTTTTTCTTGTCCGGTGATTGATTATTTGTTTGTCTTTTTTTCTTGTGATATTTATTTTTTATTTTTTTTTTGTTTTTAACTGAACAGATGTGTACAAAAAGGAAAACGTTCTTTTAAATATATATATATATATAAAGAAAGAAAGCGAGGGAGAGAGAGAGAGAAAGCGAAAGAGATGAAAAGAATCTGTTTTTATGCTCTTTTTTTATATTGTTTAATTGTTTTTTTAGTCAAGAAATTTGATAAATTCTTATATTAATATCTGACAATAGTTACATACATTTTCTAGATTTCATCCATACATACATACGTGTTGTAGCTTTCAGGCATATTGTTTGCTTGGTAATGCGACGTTTAGAAATACATTTCATCATCGCGTGCTACTTCGACTATTCTCAACAAATTGAAAAGAAGCCACGATTATGACGATGGTAGCTATCAAAGGTAGACATTCTATTTCTCGCTTATTTTCTTTCGAAACTTTCTTATTTGATGATTCTGTCATTCATCATAACAATAGTTGTGCTTATCGACGTCCCCATCTTTTTTTTCTCTGAGTACGTGTTTCTACACTAGTTTGCATGCTGCTACCGCTCCTATGTTGATGCGATGATTGTTTCCCTCCCTTACGTTCTCTCTTTCTTATTTCTTGTTGTGTTCTGTTCTGTTCTGTCACGAGAGACACACACACATCTATCATATGATTCCACATTTTTTCTTTCTTTTTTTTCTTTCTCTCCCTTTCCATATGATCTACTCTTACTTGTGCGCACCATTTCCATTTTTTTTATCGCTGCTACTACTAATAATGATGTTGTTGATGATGATGCTGATGATAGCCTTGCATATTTATTTATATATGTATATACATGTATATATATTTTAGTTTGTCGTCATTGGTATGACTAATCCTGAGTCTCATTATCCGTTTATTCATTGGCCAGCAAGATCTACTTCGAATTTAACTGGCATCCATAATAATAATAATCAAGACAATTGTCAGGTATTTCAGACACCAGCAACGCCAACAACACTTTTGACTTATTTTCAATCAAAAGATCAAGCAATCGGTCCTTATTCAACGTAAGTAACATGTCAACTTATATTTTGTTTTTACCTTTTATGACAAATATAAATATGATAAAGCAAAAAACAAAAAAAAAATTTTACTTTGAGTGCTAATACGTGTGTGCATTAAGTCACTATGACTAGTCGATAGAAAAAAACAGAACAAAAAAAAAACGACGATAATAATATAATACATTGTATGCCATATTTATCATCGTAAATCATTATAATTTTTGATTATTTTTATCGATCAGACTTATATCTATATCTATATATATTATTGTTATTATTATTATTTATACTTAACAAAGACTCATAGACCTTTGCAAGGACATTGTTTTGCTAATTTCTTTTTCTTTTTCAAGAGATATCCATTTGAAATCATCAAATGTTGCTATAACTGGAATATCGTCATCATCGTGTTCATCATCTCCAAAACAAATATCATCGTCATCTCCAATTCCATTTCAGCCATATCTTATAACACCATTCCATACACAAAATACTCCACCTTATTCATCATCCATGTCAAATTCAATAAATACAACACAAATATCAACACCTCGTAAACGTAAACAAACAGCCAATGATTCATCCTCATTTCTTACACCTTCAATACCAGCAAAACGATCAACTCCTTTGGCAATGTTCTTTCCAAAAGTAACGCCGTCCGACGGTTCAGTTGTGATGTTTCTTAGTAATAGTAAAATAACTCAAACTGATCATTCATTCTCAATTTCTACATCTAGTCAACATCTTGATATTGAACAGCAACAATTAACAGCTGAAATTGATGAATTACGTCGTACAAAATTAGATACACAACGTCAATATGAAACAACTGTTGAAGCAGTAAAACGTTGTCTTGTTATGACACGTTCATTACTTGTTGAAAAATCTCAATTAGAAAAAAAACAAGCTCGACATAAAGCTATGGAAAATCGTTTACGTCTTGGACAATTTGTTACACAACGGCAAGGTACATCGTTTGTTGAACAATGGGTTGATGGTTATGATTTTTTGGATAAACAACGTGCACAAGAACAATTAGCTCGAGCAAAAGAAAATCTTGATCGTGAACGAAAAAATTTAACTAAAAAGAAAACATTCATACAACAACATCAACAAATAATGATAGTAACGACACCAGATGATTCAATTACTCAAAATAGTAATTTTAATTCTCAAGAGTTTAATAATTCAATATTTATACCACCGACTAAACCAAAACGAACAAATAAAACTCCAGCTATTAAAACATTCACTAGGTAATTTTTCTAGTTTAATCTAAAGATTAATAAATTCTTATCATTTAGTCAACAAAAAATACAATCAATTTCATCTCCATCTCTGGGTGTAACATTCAATAATAATCCTTTAGTATCATCAACATCATTCATTGGACATCAACAGATTCAAGCATATTCTGATAATTCAAATGATGGTCATTATCTATATTCTGGTGATAATAATACACCCATTGATAGTGGTAATTCATCATCATCATCATCATCACTTATTTCAAATTCATCGTCATCTATAATGACATTACAAGATTGGTATGAATATGATGAAGTACTTCGTCTTCGACAATTAACACTTAAACGTGAAGAATGTGATTTAGCACAAGATTTAGAAAAACTTGATCGTGAAAGAAATGTTCATATAAGAGAATTAAAACGTCTATATAATGAAGATCATTCAAGATTTAATAAAAATAATGTGCTAAATGAACGATATTTACTATTAACACTTATTGGTAAAGGTGGTTTTAGTGAAGTACATCGTGCATTTGATTTACGTGAACAACGTTATGTTGCTTGTAAAATTCATCAATTAAATAAAGAATGGAAAGATGAGAAAAAAGTGAATTATATTAAACATGCACTTAGAGAATATAATATACATAAACATTTAGAACATAAACGTAAGTTTTTTTTTCTTTTCAGTTTGTAATAAAAATAATATTCTTGTTTAGGTATTGTTAAATTATTTGATGTATTTGAAATTGATACGAATTCATTTTGTACAGTTTTGGAATATTGTGATGGAAATGATTTAGATTTTTTTCTTAAACAAAATAAAACGATTCCAGAAAAAGAAGCACGTTCAATCATAATGCAAACAGTTAATGCATTAAAATATCTTAATTCAGAAATTAAACCACCTGTGGTCTGTTATTATTCATTATTTAAAATAGAACGAAAAATAATAAATTATTTTTTTTTTAAAATTTAGATTCATTATGATTTAAAACCAGGTAATGTTCTATTAGGAACAGGAAATAATAGTGGTGAAATAAAAATAACTGATTTTGGCTTATCTAAACAAATGCATGAAGATGCGTTTGATGCCGATGATGGAATGGATCTTACATCTCAAGGTAAAAAAAATCAATAAATCAATAAATAAATAATATGTTTATTTTTCTTATAGGTGCCGGTACTTATTGGTATTTACCACCAGAAGTCTTTGTTCAAGGACCTAATCCTCCTAAGATTTCATCTAAAGTAGATGTTTGGAGTGTCGGCTGTAAGTTTCAATGCTATAATTTATTCACAATTAATTGATTTGTTATTCGTTTAAGGTATTTTTTATCAATGCTTATATGGTCGAAAGCCATACGGTCATAATCTATCTCAAGCAGCTATATTAGAAAATCAAACTATATTAAATGCCAAAGACGTTCAATTTCCAAATCGACCTCAAGTATCAAATGAAGCGAAATTATTCATTCGTCGATGTCTAACTTATCAAGCACGTGATCGTCCCGATGTTTTACAATTGAGTGAAGATGAATATTTGAAATCTTATCCAAAACGTACTACAGCTACAACATCTTCACTTCTTTTCTGTCCTAAATAACTATGTAAATTAGCTTCTGTCTTTTACTCTTTCTTTCTCTATTATTTCTACTAGTAAACCAACGGTAAATGACGGTATTTTCTTCTTTCACTCTCTTGTGAAATAAAAAAAAACAACCTGTGTACGAGAATAAAAAAAGAAAATGAAATGATCTAAAAAAAAAATATGCTAACTATATGCATAGTACGAAAAGAATTTTTCAATTTATTAGTATTGTATCGGATGCTCGTGTTCAGAAGTATTGATGTGAAACATTATTTATTGTTTGGAAACCAGATATCTTTAGGTACATTAATAAAACATGAAAATGATATTTACATTGCTTATTTAACATTAGTGCATATTGTTTTAATTTAAGAAAAATAGAAATATTAATAATTTTTATGGGTATGATATGTGATTTACAAGTTCTTCGTTTATATTTAATGAGTTGTGCACATGTAAGAAATCTTCTATTCTATTTAAGGCTTCCCCCCCCTCCGAAAAGTCGATTTTCGTCAAAAAAATGGATTTTGAGATAAACACATGGGCATGATGCCTGAGTAGTCTACTTTATAAATCCGTAAAGGTTTTATTAAATCTCTA